TTGCAGTGAGCCGAGATCGTGCCATTGCACTCCAGCCTGGGTAACAAGAGCGAAACTCCGTCTCAAAAAAAAAAAAAAAAAAAAAAAAAAAAAGAAATAATAATTTTACACAAGGTCTTCCAGAAAATAGAAGAGGAGGAAATACTTCTCAAATTATTTTTGAAGCTAGCATCACTCTGATAGTAGAACCAGACAAAGGTATTACAAGAATATAAAACTACAGACCAATATTTTTCAAGAACATAGATGAAGATATTAATTTTTTTTTTTTTAGCAAATCAAACCCAACAATATATAAAAAGGATAACTCCTCATGACCAAGTGTGGTTTATCCCAGGAATGCAAAGTTGGCTTAACATTTGAAAATTAATCAATATAAGTCATTATATTAACAGACAAAATTTACACCATATGATCATCTCCATATATGTAGAAAAAGCACTTGAGAAAATTCAGTATTAATTCATTCGTAATACACACTGTCAGCAAACTAGTAACAGAAGAAGCTCTCTATCTCTGAAAAAGGGAATCTGTAAAATTTTACAGCTAATATTGTACTTAGTGGTAAATTAATACTTAGGATCAGGAAGAAGAAAAATTGTCTGCTCTTATCACTTTTATTCAGTATTGCATTGGAGGTTCTAACCGGTGCAATGAAACAAGAAAAAGTAATAAAAGGCATCTAGATTGCAGAAGAAGTAAAATTGTATTTATTTGTAAATGGCATGATTGCTTCCAAGAAATCCTTTGGAATTCTACTATAACACTTAGTGAGTTTAGAAGGGTTATAGGATACAAGGCTAATATAAAAAAAATTATTATAAATTTTATAAAGTAGCTACACATAATCAGAAATGGAAATTTAAATATGCAATTGACAGCAGTATCAAAAAATGAAATAATTAGGGGTAAATCTTACAAAATACATGCAAGCCCTGTACCTCAAAACTATAAAACACAGCTGAGAACAATTAAGGAAGAAATAAATAAATGGAGGAATATATTGTGTGCATGATTTGGAAGCCTCAATATTTTTATTTTTATTTTTCTCCAAGTTGATTTATAGATTCGTGGTAACCCCAGTCAAAACACAGCAGGCTATGTTGTAGAAATGTATGAACTGAATCTAAAATTCATCTGGAAATGCAAAGGAGGTAGAATAGCGAAAAACAACTTCGAGAAAGAAGAACAATGCTTGAAAACTTAGACTATCTGACTTCAAAATTTATTACAAAGTTACAATACTCAAGACAGTATGGTATTGGTGTTAAAATAGGCAAATAGAGCAATGAAACAGAATAGAGATGAAGGGGGATGGCTTTGCTGTCGCACCCTGGTGACCTTGCACATATCCACATAGGCCACAAAGCAAAACTGGAACCACTACTGAATCTACATCTTGGCAGAATACCTGAATGCTCCTGGACTGGAAGCTTGTAAGGAGTTGCTGTAAGGCCCTTGCCCCCGTGCCTGGCTGTGTCCCCTAGGAGGCTGCCATGAGACAGTTTCTCAACGCCTTCTGGATTCTGCGGAGGCAGGGAGCTTCCTGCTTTAGCCCCTTCAGAATAGAGATACAGACTATGAATCTCTCATCTCGGATCCAGGCATGGCTGCTCAGCAATGGGGTATCCTTCAACTTGTGTTGACATCATCCAGCCCCTTTTGCCTTGGTGTTATCTTTCTTGGTGTGTGGGACAAAGACCATGAGGAGCCAACACCACTGGCTACTCTTCCTTTCACACTTTTTTTTTTTTTTTTTTTTTTTTTAGACGGAGTCTCCCTGTGTTGCCAGGCTGGAGTGCAGTGGCCCTATCTCGGATTACTGCAGCCCCTGCCTCCCTGGTTCTAGCGATTGTCTTGTCTCAGCCTCCTGAGTCTAATTTTTGTACTTTTAGTAGATGGGGTTTTACCATGTTGGCCAGGATGGTCTCGATCTATTGACCTTGTGATCCACCTACCTTGGTCTCCCAAAGTGCTGGGATTACAGGCATGGGCCACCGTGCCCGGCCTTCCTTTCATTCTTTGTGTAATAAAGTGGCTCCTCACATCTTCACCAGGTGAATCAGTCAGACCTTGCCCTGTTTTGCACATGCTTGACAAGGTATCCCAGAAATAAACTCATGCATATATAGTCCATTAATTTTTGACAAAAGTCAAAGATGATTTGGTGGAAAAGGAAGGGTTTAAATACATAAATATTTATGATTTTTGACTAACAGTGCTGGAACTGTCAGATATCCACATGCAAAAAAAAAAAAAAGAAAAAAAAGCTTTAATTCATACTTCACATCAAATTCAGAAATGAACTCAAAAGGGATCACAGACTTAAATGTAAAATGTAGAGTTATGAAATTTCTAGAAGAAAATGTAAGAGAAAGTCTGTATGACCTTGGGTTAGGCAAAGATTTTTTTTAGATACCATAATCCAACATAATCCTTAAAAGACAAATGGATAAACTGGACTCCATAAAAATTAAGAACTTCTGTTTTTCAAGATATTGTTAAGAGAGTAAAATCTAAGCCAGAGATTGGCAGGTAATACTTATAAATCACTTATCTCACAAGAGACCCGTATCTAGAATATCCCAAGAAACCTCAAAATTAAATAAGAAAACCACAAGAAGACATAGTCATGTACTTTATAATGATGGTTTTGGTCAACAACAGACCACATATACAACAGTGGTCCCATAAGATTATACTGTACCTTTCCTTTTCTATGTTTAGATACGCAAATACTTCCCATTGTCTTACAGTTCCCTACAGTATTCAGTACAGTAGCATACTGTCCAGGTTTGTAGCCAGGGAGCAAGAGGCTAAACCGTATAGCCTAGGTGGGCAGCAGGCTATGCCATCCTGGTTCGTATAAGTACACCCTATGTTTACACAATGATGAAATGACACATTTCTGAGAATGTATCCCCATTGTTAAGTGACAAATGACTATGTGGATGACAAGTAAGTTCATGAAACCATGCTCAACATCACTAGTTACCAGGGAAATGAAAATCAAAACTGTAATGAGATATGTCTACGCACCTATTATAATGTGTATAATTAAAGCCTGACCATAGCATGTATTGGTGGAGCAACTGGAATACACAGACTTCGCTGGTGGGGATGTGAAATGGTACAGCTTTCTAAACTAGTTGAGCCATTACTTAGTTATTATTTTTTTGAGACAGGGTGTCAACTCTATCACCCAGGCTGGAGTGTGGTGGTGTGAACATGGCTTACTCCTGGGCTCAAGCGATCCTCCCACCTCAGCCCCCTAAGTAGCTGGGCTGCATGCCACCATGTCTGGCTAACTTTTGTATTTTTTGCAGATGCGATTTTGCTGTATTGCTCAGGCTGGTCTTGGACTCCTGGACTCAAGTAATCTGCCTGTCTTGGCCTCTCAAAGTGCTATAATTAGCGGCGTGAGCACTACACCCAGCCTAACAGTTATGTTCTTAATCATATCATATGACCTAGCCATTCCAATCCTAGATATTTATTTAAAAGACATAAAAGCATATGGCTGTTCAAAGGCTGGCACACAAATGTTCATGGTAACTTTGTTTGTAAAGTACCCAAACTGGAAACAATCAAATGTCTCCCAACATATGAGTAGATGAATGCACTGTGGTTCATCTATACCATAAAACCCTACCCAGGAATAAAAAGGAATGAGCTAAGATACACACAGCAACACAGATGAATCTCAAAATAGTATGTTGAGCGAGAGAAGCCAGATAAAAGCAGATTCCATTTATACAAAATTCTAGAAAACGCAGACTAAGCAAAGTGATAGAAAGCAGATGCTAGGGATGGAGGAGGAGGAAGGGGCCATGGGAGGCAGAACAGTGGGCACAGTGAGGCCCCGGGGTAATGACGAGTATCCTCCGTCCATGGACGGTGGGATTTTGCATGAGTGTGTAAGTCTGTGCAGTTTATCAAACTGTAAGCCTCAAACACGTGCTGAATGCCAGTCACACCTCGGTAAACCTTTTAGAGAACATTGCTAGGACTTTGTTTCCCTCCTCATTCTCAATACTGGTGCGGGTCCACGTGGGCCTCTGAGTTCCCATCTGAACTCAGCTGATCTTTCTTAGGTGGGGCCCCTGCTGAGCGCCCAGCAGCCCCGCCTGCCTGCGTTGCTGCCCCTGCCGGGCGGGACATACAAGCAGCTTGGACAGTCGCTGGAAAAGTAGCAAGGGCGATGCGGTTTCTGAGAGCCGCGCGGGTTTCCAGCACTAAACGTGGGTGACTTAATCTTCCCCAGAGACAGAGGCCACGCAATGGCAACTCCAAGGCCAGGGGCCGGAGCATTTGGACTAATAGAAATGTCAAGACGACACCATGCAAGCCGAGGAACCCCAACACGAGTCCTGTGCCAAGACTCGTGGCCCCGCTGCCTCTCTGGGACCGGGGTCACCCGCTGGGAGGGCGCTCTCCACGGGCGGGGGGCTGCGGGACCCCCGGACCCCGCGCCCGGGCGCGAACTGGCTGCGCGGCCGCTGGGCCTCCCTAGAGGCCGGCACAGCTCCGCTTCGGTGCGGGCCTGGAAGCCCCGCCCGAGGAGCTAACCATTTATGTCACACTGTGACAATTATTCTGCATAAAATTATCATTAAAACCCCTAATTTTTCAGCCTCCAACCCCGCCAGTGGCCTTTTAGCATCCCCGGCGCCGGCGGCTGCGGCCGTGATCACCGCGCTCATTACCTCGGCGTGGCGCCTCCCGCGCGCGCTCGCAATCAAGCGCTAATTAAACCCGCCGGAGCCGGGGCGTGGGGCGAGGGCCGGGAGGGCCGGGTCTGGGGTCCCGGGTCAGGGGCCTTGGATCTGGGTCCCGAGGCCAGGGCCAGGGTAGGGACGGGGCGGACCCGGGCCTGGGGACAGGCGGCCACGGGCGGGCCAGGGTGCAGGGGCTGGGACGGAGACGGGGTCGGGGGTCCGGGTGGGGGGGGTCTGGTCTTGGGGCGGGGCGGGGCCGCGGGCCTGAACCCCGGTCCTTACCCGAGCGAGGCGGCGGAGCGGCAGAGGTGCAGAGGCGCCAGGCCCTCGGCGCTGAGCAGGTCGGGGTCGGCGCGGTGCTGCAGCAGCAGGCGGGCGCAGGCCGTGTGGCCCCCGAGGCAGGCTTCGTGCAGGGCGCCGCGGCCGCCGGGGCTGGCGTCGGGGTCCGCGCCGCGGCCGAGCAGGTGGCGCACGCAGGCTGCGTGGCCGTGGGCCGCGGCGATGCACAGGGGCGTGGTGAGCTCGCGTTTGTACTCCAGGGTCCAGAGGCCTGCGGGGAGGGAGCGGGGGTGTCAGGACGGGGGCGGGGGGGGGAGGACGCGGGGGCGGGTGACGGTGGGCGGTGTCCATTAAGGCAGAAAGAGGGAGAAGCTGTCTTTTCCAGGTAGATACCAGGTGGGCGTGTAGGGCGAAGAGGGTAGAATCAGAGACACACACACAGACAGAGAGCAGAGAGACACTGGGAAGAGACAAGCGGAGACGGAGGAAGAAATAAAAAGGAGATATTGAAAAGGCTAGAACTGAGTCAGAGAGATGGGGCGCCAGGAACCAAGCAGCAGGAGGGTTTTGCCAAATACGGGGTGACTGGGAAATTGGGTCAGTTAAAAGCTGTCCAAGCAGGGTGCACGGTAGGCGAATTTAAGTGAGGAATTCACACGTTCCAGGCCCTGAGTTAGGGGCAGCTTGAAAGAGGAAAGTAGGTTGTGGAATTTTCCCGAATCCAGTCCTCCCTTCGCTGAGCCCCACACTTGTCCCTTTGTCATTAAGAAGAGACAACAGACAAAATAAACTGACCCACGCATCACCAAGGTTGTTCAAGACAAGGACTCAGAAAAAGTTTAGCTGTCTTGCCAGGGGCTGCGTTTTTAGAAGCACCCTTTGATGTGGCGGTCCACATTCAGCACAATCCTGGTTTGTTTCTTTGCGCCTTTTAGGGGTATGTGTGTGTGTGTGTGTGTGTGTGTGTGTGTGTGTGTAGGGTTGCTCTTTCTTGAGTGATGAATGGAGCAGGTGCTGTATATTTTTACTTCTCTGAAAACTTTGGCACTTTCAAAAAGCCCGTAGAAGGTTGTTAGCGGCCAGGAGCACTAGTGGAAATGAGGGACAGTCCCTGGTGAATACACATCAAGGGGCAGGATTTCACATGGCAGGAAGGCCTCTGATAATGATGGAAGAATCGATACCACGGCTGTAATGAGCCGCAGAGGAGACCCTTTTCACAGGCCACCTCCTTCCTGGGACCCATGCTGAGCAGCCTTGAAAGCCCATTCATTAATTACCTACCTGCATGTGGTGCAGAGTTCCAGCCGCTCTGAGTCCCCAGGGCCCAGCCTGGAGCTTGTTGTGCGCTCTGTGGGGGAAGGGGGGCCTACGGGACTGGCGTGGAATGGTGGTGGCCAGACGCCCAGCAGACAGGGACTCTCATGGGTCTGGGCTGCCCTTCCCAGTGAAACCCAGGTCTGATCTGGAGAGGGTGATGGATGTAGTCTATCTACATTGTTAGCCACATGATAATAATAACCTACATTCCTGCAGGCGCCAGCTCTTGGTTTTTTGAGTCAACTCATTTTTCTGAGAGATGAAGGCTACTTACTGCCATCTTTGGGGAATGAAAGTCCCCAACGCAGCCCCACCCTCCCCGAGCAGCTCGGTAAACCCACCCTGGATTCCTGAGTCTCCCCAGAGACTGATGGGAAGAAGCCGTAGGTGGGCACCGAGCTCAGGCTCAGCGTGGGCCAGCACCATCTCCAGGTCCTTGGAGATGCGGTCAGGAAGCCTGAAATCAGCTTTCTGTAACTCCCACCCTCTGGTTTCAGTTCTGACACCAGGAGGGACATGGATTAAGGCTTCTCTGTGTGTTGTGTGTCCCCCTAAGTATTAGCTCCCCCAAGCCAGCAGTGCTCTCCGTGACTGTGTGCTGGATGGACCAGCATTCCACCACAGAGGGGCACTGAGGTGCTGACCACTGGGGACTGGCTCCCTGTGCTCAGGCAGATCCCTTCCCCACCAGGGGAGCTGGAATTGGCCACCGGGAAGCCTTCACCAGAGTGGGTAGAGCACATGGGGCCGCTGTTTTCAAACAGGGTCTGTTTGTTTCTGCTGCTCGACCTGCTGCAGGGCAGTCAGGAAGGAGCCTGGAATCCAGGCAGCCTGAGCGCTCCCTCCCCATCTTCCCAGCCTGCATGGAGGCCCCAGGCCGCTACTTAGTGTTGGGGCTGTGATTTCCTCAGTACCAGCCACATCCCTTCACTGTGGGTGTGCTCCAGCGTCCTGTCGTCCAGGTGTGCCACAGAACAGCAGCAGAACTCGGGGGGTGGGGGGGGAAGATTCAGGAGGGAAAGAGGAACCGGATTTGGGATATAGACAATGTGCAAATAATGGGTGAACATGGCTCTCTGTTCGAAACTGTGACATTTGCGTATGTGTATGTCCAGGGTTGCAGTTGGCATTTTTGGTCTGGGACAGGCAAGGGAGAGGAGGCCCAGAAGGGCTCAGCTGGGACGCGCAGCCCCAGCTGGAAGTGCTGTTTCCCTTTCCTGCGGCCCCCACCGCCTCCCTGGTTGGCAGCAGCTGCTCGGCCCTCTGCAGTGTTTTGAGTTTATTCCCTTCTCCCCGTGTGAGGTATAAACAGAACTGTGTTGGAAGCTGACCTTCTGCATTCTTTGCCTGCCAGAGCTCAAGAGTCAATAACATGGGGCATTGGCCACCAGCCACTGACCTCAGATTCTCAAACCCCATGGTCTGGCAGAACTGCTGCAGATTTCAACACATGAACCTTCTTGGTAAACGTGTTGCCTCTGAGCCTGTGGTGGGTGGGGTGCCCAAAGCAGAGTGCCAGCCGAGAAAGCCCCAGATGCAGCCTGGTGGTCAGCAAGTGTCTGCATATCCTGAGTGGGCCGGGGAAGGAAGGGACCTCTCTCCACTTGGGAGGTCTGCTTGCCTGCCCAGCACACGGTGACCGTGTTCAGGCAGCAAGGGCACCTGCAGACATGTACGAAGTCAGGACCTCTGGTTTCTTCCTCTTTCCTTCCCCATTCTTAGGCTTCCCCAGATTTCAGGAGGAGGATCTACAGAGAGCCCTGGGGTTCTGACCCTACTGATGCTCGCTGTGCCCTGGTTACCCTGCTGTAGCTGTGGCATTTGCAAATTCATAGAAGGACCTCATGCAAAGCTCTGTGCCAGAGGCTGTTCCAAGTGCAATCGAAAGAGAGACTTTCCTTTTCCAGCACCCACCTCCCTGGCTGCCAGAGGCAGTGCAGGCAGCTCTGCACCCAAACCGATGCTCCTTTGTAAAGACAAGAGGCATACCCAGCATCATCAGATAGCCATTCCCACCAGTGGCTGCTTTGCCTTTCCAACTGGATCTCTTTAATGCCATCACCTAAAACGTACACTTCAAAGCCACTGCAGAGCAAATTTCATCTGATGTTCTTTTTTTGTGTATGTTAAACCCAGGGCCACTGTGCCCAGTCTACACACAGGAGCCTGACGTTTCAGGAGAGTATTAGTAGCCCCTTAAAAATAAATGAGCTTTAAAGAACACGGGTACCTGACAGTCCAAACGTGGCTGGAGATTTCACCTGCCATTCCAGCTCATCCTTATTGATCTCAAACACCACGTTGGCATCCCGGAAGAACTGGTCCATGAGAGGCTGAAGATGATCCAGGTCCCCTGCGACCAGGGCAGTGTGGTACTCCAGCACTGGGGACCCTGCTGTAGCTTGAGGCTCCTTCTCCATCTTTTGAAAGATTTGAAGTTTTCCTCTCACTGGCCCTGGCTGTCTCTCCATTGCAGTGCCGTTGATTTCAGAACAGTTCTTCAGGAATGGGAAAGATGGTCTTACGGAGTGTGAGCTATTTCTATTGTCATTACTCAATTGTCATCCAGTTGGGGCTCAATGGTGGTGTATTTATAACTCCTGTGGGCTCCGATGTGATAAAGGTTACTTGATATGACAAGAGGCATGTGACCACTGGGATGCCGCAGCACTCAGCCACCCCTTTGTGATGATATAGATGTGTCCGGAGACAGACACATCTGGATAGCTCCAAAGCAGCTCTCCATGCACTGAGGGCAGACTCCCAGCGCACACTGAACTGTGATGGACCCTTTATCCTGCAGTTGGGCAGATGATTCCCCAATCTTAAATAGCATTGCATTCACCTGTTTGTGTGGAGTAAGTGACTCACTTATAAATATGACTTTAGTGACCAGATACTTAGCAAATAAGTAATATCCTCTCAGGTTTAAATAAAAGTACCATATTTAGAATCTGGAAATGAAAGTCTTAAACTCAGAGGAAAGAAACAAGTATTTATAAAGCACCCAGTGTACACCAGGTGCTTTTTAAGTATTACCATATTTACTCCCAATAACAACCACATGAAGGAAAGAGCGTGGTCACCACCGCTCAGCCAGTTAGTGGCTGTGCTGTGACTGGAACCCATGTGCATCTGTCTCAAGAGTCTGTCCTCTGTCCACCATGCCACTCAGGTGGCTTCCAGTTGCATCAGGCAGGACCTACTCAGAACTGGGCCAGCACTGCCAGGAGCCATTTTCCAGAGAGGGCTCTTGGCCGCCCAGGATTTAGTTTCTCTCCAAGCGAAGGTGGTGGCAGGTAGCAGGACATACTCTTGGGTTGATAGGGCTGCAAGGGTCTGTCTGCCGTCACTGCCTGGCGCTCTCCACTCCCAGCTCTTGCCCAGGCTGGAGTACAGTGGCACAATCTTGGCTCACTGCAACTTCTGTCTTCCGGTTTTAAGTGATTCTCCTGCCCCAGCCTTCCAAGTAGCTGGGATTACAGGCACATGTTATCACGCCCAGCTAAATTTTGTATTTTTAGTAGAGACGGGGTTTCACCATGTTGGTCAGGCCGGTCTCCAACTCCTGACCTCATGATGCACCTGCGTTGGCCTCCCAAAGTGCTGGGATTACAGGTGTGAGCCACCACACCCAGCTGGTTTCTATATTTATAAATAGTTGGGAAAAATCAAAAGAAGAATATTTTATGATACATGAAAGTACATCAATTCAAATTTCACCGTCCCTAAATAAATTTATTGGGAGCCCCGCCATGCTCATACATTTACATATGCTTTTGAATTTATAATGGCAGAGTTCAGTTGTGGTGACAGTGACTGCATGGCCCACAAAGACGGAAATGTTTATTATCCAGCCCTTCACAGGAAAAGTCAGCCTCTGCTCTGGAAGTTAAGACTTAATCCCAGCCAATTCTTGCTAATAAGTAATTACTGGCTGGGCATGGTGGCTCACACCTGTAATCCCAGCATTTTTTTCCTTCTTTTTGAGACAGAGTCTTGCTTTGTCACCCAGTGCAGTGGTGCCATCTCCACTCACTGCAATCTTTGTCTTCTGGGTTCAAGTGATTCTCCTGATGCAGCCTCCCGTGCAGCTGGGATTACAGGCTTGCACCACCATGCCCTGCTGATTTTTTTTTGTATTTTCATATTTTTAGTAGAGATGGGGTTTCACCATGTAGGCCAGGCTAGTCTCAAACTCTTGCTCTCAAGTGATCTGTCCATCTCAGTCTCCCAAAGTGCTGGGATTACAGGCATGAGCCACCTTGTCTGGCCAATCCTAGCACTTTGGGAGGTCGAGGTAGGAGGATTGATTGAGTCCAGGAGTTTGAGAACAGGCAGATAGCAAGACTTTCCCTATCTCTAAAAAAAAAAAAAAAAAATTAGCTGGGCATAGTGATGTGCACCTGCGGTCCCAGTTTCTTGGGGGGCTAAGGTGGGAGGATCAGTAGAGCTTGGGATTGTGCCACTGTACTCCAGGCTGGGCAGTGGAGTGAGACCCTGTCTCAAAAAAACAAAAACAAAAACAAAAAGTACTACCTAAAATAAGTAAGGCTTCTCTTTCTTGCTTTGAAGAGTGTCTTTTTGCTTTTTATCCCACCCATGTTCTCTGTTGCCATGACCAGTGATGAGCAGATGTGTGTTTCAAGGGCTGTGGCCGCTCTGAGGATGTGTGAGGGAGGCCTGTTGGACACTGCAAATGCTCAGGTTCTGACATTCAGGCTGGAGGGTAGTGGTGTGATCTATGCTCACTGCAACCTCTGCCTCCAGGGTTCAAGTGGTTCTCTTGCCTCAGCTTCCTGAGTAGCTGGGATTATAGGTATTTGCCACCACACCCAGCTAATTTTTATATTTTTAGTAGAGGCAGGGTTTCACCATGTTGGCTAGGATGGTCTCAAACTCCTGATCTCAGGTGAACCGTCCACTTTGGCCTCCCAAAATGCTGGGATTACAGATGTGAGCCACCATGCCCAGACTGTCTCTCCCTCCTTCTCTCCTTCCGTCCCTCCCGTCTTTCCTTCCTTCCTTCCTTCCTCTCTTTCTTTCTGTTTTTCCCCACCAGGAAGTTGGAATGGGCCAGTGACAGTGGGCTACAGAATCCTTTGGCCTGTGCACAACACAAGCCACATGAGCAGAGGCTGGAGGGAGGTGAAAGGCTCAGGAGAGCTTTGCTTGGATGAGTAGAGAGAAGGCCAGTGGAGCAGTGCCCAGGAGGGCTAAGCAGACCCTCTCCTAGGGAGGTCGGAATAGCATAAGCCCCCATTTGCTCACGGCCCGTGTTAGACCTGGGGACCGATGGGATCCCGTCCCCATGTGGTATTGCAACCAGGAAGAAACGGCAGAGAAACAACAGGGAAAAAGATGTGAAATCAAGGAATAGAGCTCATCGGGCTGTGCATCCCTGGTCACAGTCAAACTTCTTAAGCCTCCTCTTATCCTGTTTCTTCTCTCTCAGTCTTCTCTGCACACAAAGGCTGCCCTGTGACTCCCCCTAACCCTTGCCAAGTGCCCCCTGACCTCTGAGTGTCCAGCCAGAGCAGGCTTTCTGTGTGGGCTCTTTATTTGGAAGAGTAGCCTGGCCTTTGGGTTGCCCCTTTCACCCAGATCTTCTACAATGAAGGGGTGCCCAGCAAAGGGAGAGCTTTGATTTTCCTTAGAAGAGATTGCAGCAAAGGGTGGAGTAGAAATCACACACATTTATAGTTTGATATCGATGTGTTCTGACCCTTGTTGTAGAATCCTTGATCTAACCCTAGTTACAGGCATGAGTTTATGTGCATGGGCTGACCCAAGGCCTGGAGGTTCACCCCATGATAAAACCCACCTCTTTTCTTCGACAGAGGAGGGCAGCAGGGGTGCTGGGTGGGGAGGGATGAGGCCATGTCTGGCCATCTGTGATGCAGGGGGATAAGGGACAGGGGCTGTGCTATGAAAGCTGAGGGGCTCACACGGGTGAGAGTTAGCCTTGGCTGGGTGTTTGGGGAAACTTGGCCATGACCCAGGTTGGTTGCCACAGGGGCCGTGGGTTTATCTTTTACCATGTTTGTCTGACCTCCGGGTGGAGGCTCAGTTCTGAGGCTGCAGAAGGGCCCACCGGGCTTAGCTCTTGGGGGTCAGGGACAGCTGCGCTGGAGGGCTGCTGCTCCCTGGACATCCACTGCTAGTGACTCTGTGTCAGGTGTCTCCCTGCAGGTGGATACTCTTGATGTCATTTGCAGATGAGGAAACTGGGACTCACAGACTCAGTTACCTTTCTCAAGGCTTCTCAATCCTGGCAGAGCCAATGCCCAAGGGCTTCCTCTGTTGCCCTCACTGTTGTCCCCCGAGCATGCCACACCTGAGCACAGGGATCTGCAGTCCCCCGGCTGTGCCTTCATCTCTCCAGGTCTGCGCGGGCTGTTCCTTCTGCCTACGGTCCTTCTTTTCCTCTCCTTGCCTGGCCAGCCTCATTCATCTTCCAACACGGCTTAGCCTCCCCTGACCTCCAAGACTAGTTCCGATGTCTGTCCTTGCACCCTGACGGTGGCACCGGGCACTCTGCTATTACTGCTGGGTCCTTGTCTGTGTCCCACTTCACCGTGAGCTTCTCGAGGGATGGTGGAAGCTGCTGCTTCCTCTCTGGGAAACTCTCCATGCCCCGCAGTGTTCCACGCACAAGGTCTTCAATGCAAATGGTGGAGAGAAAGAATGGACTGGACTCTTTGAAATGTGCTCAACATTAAAATTCCTCCCTGGTTCTTGCTCTCATTCTTGGCCATCTGTTGCCTTTGCCCTTAGGGAAGAATGCCGTAGTAACGTGGGTGCTCAGCTGGCCTCGGGCAGGTCTCAGGTGCTCAGGGTGAGGACCTGCCTCAGATCTGTGGGCCTCACTGCGCAGCCCACCTTACCACCTGAGTAGAGATCCCTACAGGTTTTTTTTTTTTTTTTTTGAGACGGAGTTTCGCTCTTGTTACCCAGGCTGGAGTGCAATGGCGCGATCTCGGCTCACCGCAACCTCCACCTCCCGGGTTCAGGCAATTCTCCTGCCTCAGCCTCCTGAGTAGCTGGGATTACAGGCACGCGCCACCATGCCCAGCTAATGTTTTGTATTTTTAGTAGAGACGGGGTTTCACCATGTCGACCAGGATGGTCTCGATTTCTCGACCTCGTGATCCACCCGCCTCGGCCTCCCAAAGTGCTGGGATTACAGGCTTGAGCCACCGCGCCCGGCCCCCTACAGGTTTTGTAAGAAGACCTGGGCCAGCGCGGTAGCTCATGTCTATGATCCCAGCACTTTGGAAGGTCTAGACAGACAGATCACTTGAGGTCAGGAGTTCAAGACCAGCCTGGCAAGATGGTGAAACCCCGTTTCTA